ACTGACCCAAAACGACTTCATAAAAGAAAGAAGAGCGACGACTTCTGCGTTAGAAAACTGTGGCGTCCATTTGAGCTGACGTGGACATAAACAGTAAATGAAGTACTTTTATTGGGGTAAAAACAGTGTAACAAGCTACAAATGAAAATCTGATAACAAAACAAACTTTTTCAGTTCAGTGCAGTTATTTTTCTGTGTATGTGGCCCTGTCGCTGCTCTGGCGGCGCGACACACTTGGAGCACATCCCACAGCCTCGGGAAGCGCTGAGGTCCGGGCGGGAGGAGCTGTAAAGCAGCTGGAGTGTCACGTCACCTTCACCTCGAGTCTTTCCTGGTCGACCTGGAGCCGGTCGTGGTGCAGCACCTCAGAGGAAGTGCACCTGGAGGGTTTGGCGACACCCGGGGAGAGAGGTCCCTCTAGGGCAGGGGAGGGCAATTATTTTTTCCATGGGGCCACATGAGAAACAGAAAATATTGTGGAGGCCAAAATGTTTAACTCAATTCTACAGAATATTAATTGTAAAAAAAAAAGCAGTAAAGATCATTGTTTAGGTGAGCTGCTCAGACTGGGTTTAAGTTCTGAAGAAGCGATGAAAAAGTGAGACTGCAGAACAAAAAATGTCTTTAAAAACACCTAAGCACAAAAGCAATGCAGCTCTAGTCCAGGTATGACGTACAATTATAAAATATTTTTATTTTGTAATTCTAAATGATCTTAAACGGGGCGGTCAGAGTCGACTAAAGGGTCGTATGTGGCCCAGATCTGCTCGAGGGGATCCTCCTGCACACAGCGGCCAAATCCCCCAACCTGTTTACCTCTGAACAGTTTCACTTCCTCTTCAAACTTCTTTTCAACTTTCCCTCACGGTTCTTGTCGACTGTCGGCCTCATGTCGGTGTTTAGCCTTAGACTGAGTTTACCACCGAAAAGAATAACGTAAAAAGTGACTTTCCATATAGAGTAAATAAGTAAATTAAGAGATTACTTTTTAAAGAAGTAACAAGAAAACACGACTTTTTTAAAGTAACTCCCCCAACACTGGCCGTAAACGTCATGACAACAAAATGCCGCAGGATGTGAACTCCTCCTGATGCACGTTATACTAGAACAGAGAGTTTGTTTTAACATTTGAACCAAAACAACGAGACGCTGCCATCGCCCAATCCTACGAGTATCACCCATGAAGAACATCACACTGGACCATACGTCACAGTGTACGTCACATTGTACGTCACATTGTACGTCACATTGTGTACATGTCACATTGTGTATGTCACAGTGTGTACGTCACATTGTGTACGTCACATTGTACGTCACAGTACGTCACATTGTACGTCACATTGTGTATGTCACAGTGTGTACGTCACATTGTGTACGACACATTGTACGTCACATTGTACGTCACAGTGCACGTCACATGTCACATTGTACGTCACAGTGTGCACATCACATTGTGTATGTCACAGTGTGTACGTCACATTGTGTACGTCACATTGTACGTCACATTGTACGTCACATTGTACGTCACATTGTCACAGTGTCACATTGTACGTCACATTGTACGTCACATTGTACGTCACAGTGTGCACGTCACATTGTACGTCACATTGTACGTCACACGTCACATTGTACGTCACAGTGTGCACGTCACATTGTACGTCACAGTGCACGTCACATTGTACGTCACATTGTACGTCACAGTGCACGTCACATTGTACGTCACATTGTACGTCACATTGTACGTCACAGTGTGCACGTCACATTGTACGTCACATTGTACGTCACATGTGTCACGTCACATTGTACGTCACATTGTACGTCACATTGTACGTCACATTGTACGTCACAGTGCACGTCACATTGTACGTCACATTGTACGTCACATTGTACGTCACATTGTACGTCACATTGTACGTCACACGTCACATTGTACGTCACATTGTACGTCACAGTGCACGTCACATTGCACGTCACAGTGGACATGTACGGGGGAGCTGAAAAAGATCAATAAAATGTCACTGTGAAAATAAGTGATTAGAAGATTCCTGAAACATGAATCACTCCAAATAAAACTTCAGGTGGTCAGTGAGAAGAAACTAGAACATGACTAAAACTGTGAAAAGTGGATTTTCAGAGCAGTTCCACTTTAACGATGATGGAGCGCTGTTATAACAAGGAGGAGAACTCATAAAAGCAGATTTTGCATAATATGTCTCCCTTAAATCACGTTTATTTTCTTAACGGCGTTTTGACGAATGGGGAATGCTGAGGTGTGGATGGACAGAGGGATGTTTGAGAAGTCTCTTATTTTCACTGACAGATCCCGTGTTTCCTTTGGCCGCGCGTCGAGCCCGCATCTCCGACGCCGGCCAACGCTTCCCGGCCTCCTCCTCCGCAGCACGGGGCCCGGAGGAGCAGACATCACCCGAAGATTGAGAAATAAAACCCCCAGTGAAAGACAGACGCATTCTTGTCTCGCTTCTGCACCAAGATACACAGAGCGGCGCGTCCCGGTGGCAGTGAGGGGTGCAGAGGACAGCGCGGAAAGGCATCTGACTCAATAAACGCACGGCCACAGGAATGCACCGGGAGGCTTCAGGCGCAGATTAAGACACTTTCGAAACGACGGAGAAACAAATCTGTCAGCTGGAGGCGAAGTGGAGTTTTTCTCACACGGAAACGGCCAACGCAAACGCACCAGAGCGACCGCGGGGAGGAGGGGAGGGGGGATCCACGTTTCACTTAAATGAGGTTAAAGGGTCTGAACCTGATTTTAAAGGGACTGAACCTGATTTTAAAGGGGCTGAACCTGATTTTAACGTTTCTGTACCTGATTTTAAAAGTTTCTGTACGTGATTTTAAAGAGCCTGAACCTGATTTTAGAGTGTCCGAACCTGATTTTTAAGGGTACGAAACTGATCTTTAAGGGTCTCAACCTGATTTTAAAAGGTCTGAATCTGATTTTAAAGGTTCTGAACCTGATTTTAAAGTTTCTGTACCTGATTTTAAAGGGTCTGAACCTGATTTTAAAGGTTCTGACTCTGATTTTAAAGTTTCTGTACCTGATTTTAAAGGTTCTGAATCTGATTTTAAAGTTTCTGTACCTGATTTTAAAGGTTCTGAATCTGATTTTAAAGGTTCTGAATCTGATTTTAAAGAATCTGTACCTGATTTTAAAGGGTCCGAACCTGATTTTAAAGGTTTTGTACCTGATTTTAATGTTTGTGTATTTTAAAAGTTTTTGTTCGTGATTTTAAAGAGCCTGTACCTGATTTTAGAGTGTCCAACCCTGATTTTAAAGTGTCCAAACCTAATTTTTAAGGGTACAAAACTGATCTTTAAGGGTGTGAACCTGATTTTAAAAGGTCTGAATCTGATTTTAAAGTTTCTGTACCTGATTTTATAGAGTCTGAACCTGAATTTAAAGGGTCCGAACTTGATTTAAAAGGGTCTGTACCTGATTCTACAAGATTGTGTACCACGCCACACACGCCAAAAGTATTTGAGGGAAAACATAAATATTATTTTAAAATCCAAACTCTCCCCTCCTTCTTTTTGTCTGAACAGTTTAAATAAATAAACCTTTGTATTTAATTACACTTAAATTATCATTAATGTGAAAGTATTTTGTGTATTTATTCATACTGTACACACAATACTGCAAATTAAGTCTGTGCAGTTAATTAAATTTTGATCACGTTTTCAATTTGTGTGTCAAACGATCTCCAAACTCAGATAATCCAGTTGAAACAATTTAAGTTTAAAAAAGTTTACAATTTATTTTGGGATTTTTTTATATATATAAATAAGGCTCAAAAGTCAAATATTTTTCACATACAAATATTTCTTCATTATAGTTTAAAGTCAAATTTTGGGAGCTTTGTCTGTTAAACTTTTGTCTGGACAAAACAGAAACTTGGAAGTGTTTTTTTGTTGTTGTTGTTGTTCTCAGTTTCACACTCTGGAGAGTTAAAGTGTTTTGCATTTTCTGGGCAGAACGACAGAAACTTTTACACAAAAATAAATAAAACTGAGTGGAGAAGAGTGTGACGGAGGAAAGACGCCACCAGGGGGCAGCAGACGCCACCGAGAGCAGAGCTGAGGCTGAGTCAAGTAACAACAGAATTATCATCAGGACTGAACCAGGACTAAACCAGGTCTAATCCAGGACTGAACCAGCACTAAACGAAGACTAAACCAGCACTGAACCAGGACTGAACCAGGACTGAACCAGGACTAAACCAGGACTAAACCAAAACTAAACCAGGACTAAAATAGGACTAAACCTTTAGTTTTGAGTCTGAGGAATTACAAAGACCTGAGCCAGAAACCAGGTCAACAAATCTGCACCTGCCAGTTACAGCAAATACACCTGACACTCTCACCTGTCTCACCTGTCGCACCTGTCTGAGCTCAGGTCAAACTGGAGGGACTGTAAATTGTGCTGATGTCACGTGAACTCGACTGATGTTGTAAACTTTCCCAGGGCTGTGATGCTAACAGGAGGCACTGCTCTGTCTGCAGCTCTGAACATTCCACCATAGACACACATGTAGCGCACCACCAGTGTGACGTCACGGCAAACAATCAGCTGTTTGTCACCTTCTTTTTCTTGTAACTTTACCTGCTGTTGTGTTTGTGTTGTGTGTGTGTGTGTGTGTGTGTGTGTGTGTGTGTGTGTGTGTGTGTGTGTGTGTGTGTGTGTGTGTGTGTGTGTGTGTGTGTGTGTGTGTGTGTGTGTGTGTGTGTGTGTGTGTGTGTTACCTGCGAGGAACAGAGCGTTCGAGGGGCAGGAGAGTGAACAGACTTCAGCTCCTCCGTTCTTGGAGCAGGAGAGTTGAGCTCGAGGAGCAGGTTTACCGTTGGGCAAACACTTTACCGCCTCTGAGACAAAAACACACACAAACGATACACTTTACACACACACAAACGATACACTTTACACACACACAAACGATACACTTTACACACACACAAACGATACACTTTACACACACACAAACGATACACTTTACACACACACAAACGATACACTTTACACACACACAAACGATACACTTTACACACACACAAACGATACACTTTACACACACACAAACGATACACTTTACACACACACAAACGATACACTTTACACACACACAAACGATACACTTTACACACACACAAACGACACACTTTACACACACACAAATGATACACTTTACACTTTACCACCTCTGAGACAAACACACACACAAGTTATTGCCAACAGCTACAAACACGACACAGATACACACACACACACACACACACACACACATATGTTACTGTGAACAGTTTCTACCACGACACACTCCAGCAGGTCCATAAGACCTGAACACTGGACCCCAGGGCCCAGGGCCACATTTCACTCTGTGCATTTGACCCTAAAGACTGAAAGACTAAAACATAAAGATCTGGACTCAGACGAGTTTCTGCTGCAAACAGCAGCTCCACATCTGGATTTATGAACAAACACAGAGTCCCTCATGAACTGTCATGTGTTTATATCAGTTTGTCAAAGTCTGATCCTGTCAGATCTCAGAGGTTCAGCAGGTCTGGTCCTGGTCTGGGTCTGGTCTGGGTCTGGTCTGGTCTGGTCTGGTCTGGTCTGGGTCTGGTCTGGTCTGGTCTGGTCTGGTCTGGTCTGGTCTGGTCTGGTCTGGTCTGGTCTGGTCTGGTCTGGTCTGGGTCTGGTCTGGTCTGGTCTGGGTCTGGTCTGGTCTGGTCTGGGTCTGGTCTGGGTCTGGGTCTGGTCTGGGTCTGGGTCTGGTCTGGTCTGGGTCTGGTCTGGTCTGGTCTGGTCTGGGTCTGGTCTGGACTTGGATGGAGACACTGGGAACATCAGGAGCCACAGGAGGCACCAGATGCAAAAACTGTTGTTGTGTCCTTAGGCAAGACACTTCACCCACACTGCCCAGTATGAAAGTGGTGTGTGTGATGGTGGTGGGAGGGGCCGATGGTGCAGATTGGCAGCCTCGCGTCCGTCAGTCTGCCCCAGGGCAGCTGTGGCTACAGTAGTATCTTACCTCCACTGAGTGAATGAAAATAATGAACTGTAAAGCTCCTTGTGCGTCTTGTTCCAGTGCAGTTTGTGTATTTGGAGTATATATATATTTGGAGTATATATATTTGGAGTATATAAAGTACTTTACTGATGCAGTCCTTCTTGTTCCAGTGCAGTTTGTGTATTTGAGTGTATTTGAGTATATATATTTGGAGTATATAAAGTACTTTACCGATGCAGTCCTTCTTGTTCCAGTGCAGTTTGTGTATTTGGAGTATATATATATTTTGAAGTATATATATTTGGAGTATATAAAGTACTTTACCGATGCAGTCCTTCTTGTTCCAGTGCAGTTTGTGTATTTGGAGTATATATATATTTGGAGTATATATATTTTGGAGTATATAAAGTACTTTACCGATGCAGTCCTTCTTGTTCCAGTGCAGTTTGTGTATTTGGAGTATATATATATATTTGGAGTATATATATTTGGAGTATATAAAGTACTTTACCGATGCAGTCCTTCTTGTTCCAGTGCAGTTTGTGTATTTGGAGTATATATATATTTGGAGTATATAAAGTACTTTACCGATGCAGTCCTTCTTGTTCCAGTGCAGTTTGTGTATTTGAAGTATATATATATTTGGAGTATATAAAGTACTTTACCGATGCAGTCCTTCTTGTTCCAGTGCAGTTTGTGTATTTGGAGTATATATATATTTGGAGTATATAAAGTACTTTACCGATGCAGTCCTTCTTGTTCCAGTGCAGTTTGTGTATTTGGAGTATATATATATTTATATATATTTGGAGTATATAAAGTACTTTACCGATGCAGTCCTTCTTGTTCCAGTGCAGTTTGTGTATTTGGAGTATATATATTTGGAGTATATAAAGTACTTTACCGATGCAGTCCTTCTTGTTCCAGTGCAGTTTGTGTATTTGAAGTATATATATTTGGAGTATATAAAGTACTTTACCGATGCAGTCCTTCTTGTTCCAGTGCAGTTTGTGTATTTGGAGTATATATATATTTGGAGTATATATATATTTGGAGTATATAAAGTACTTTACCGATGCAGTCCTTCTTGTTCCAGTGCAGTTTGTGTATTTGGAGTATAGTATATATATATTTGGAGTATATAAAGTACTTTACCGATGCAGTCCTTCTTGTTCCAGTGCAGTTTGTGTATTTGGAGTATATATATATTTGGAGTATATATATTTGGAGTATATATATTTGAGTATATAAAGTACTTTACCGATGCAGTCCTTCTTGTTCCAGTGCAGTTTGTGTATTTGGAGTATATATATATTTGGAGTATATATATTTGGAGTATATAAAGTACTTTACCGATGCAGTCCTTCTTGTTCCAGTGCAGTTTGTGTATTTGGAGTATATATATATATTTGGAGTATATAAAGTACTTTACCGATGCAGTCCTTCTTGTTCCAGTGCAGTTTGTGTATTTGGAGTATAGTATATATATATATTTGGAGTATATAAAGTACTTTACCGATGCAGTCCTTCTTGTTCCAGTGCAGTTTGTGTATTTTGGAGATATATATATATATATTTGGAGTATATAAAGTACTTTACCGATGCAGTCCTTCTTGTTCCAGTGCAGTTTGTGTATTTGTATATTATATATTTGGAGTATATATATTTGGAGTATATAAAGTACTTTACCGATGCAGTCCTTCTTGTTCCAGTGCAGTTTGTGTATTTGGAGTATATATATTTGGAGTATATAAAGTACTTTACCGATGCAGTCCTTCTTGTTCCAGTGCAGTTTGTGTATTTGGAGTATATATATATTTGGAGTATATATATTTGGAGTATATAAAGTACTTTACCGATGCAGTCCTTCTTGTTCCAGTGCAGTTTGTGTATTTGGAGTATATATATTTGGAGTATATAAAGTACTTTACCGATGCAGTCCTTCTTGTTCCAGTGCAGTTTGTGTATTTGGAGTATATATATATTTGGAGTATATATATTTGGAGTATATAAAGTACTTTACCGATGCAGTCCTTCTTGTTCCAGTGCAGTTTGTGTATTTGGAGTATATATATTTGGAAGTATATATATTTGGAGTATATAAAGTACTTTACCGATGCAGTCCTTCTTGTTCCAGTGCAGTTTGTGTATTTGAAGTATATATATATATTTGGAGTATATAAAGTACTTTACCGATGCAGTCCTTCTTGTTCCAGTGCAGTTTGTGTATTTGAAGTATATATATTTGGAGTATATAAAGTACTTTACCGATGCAGTCCTTCTTGTTCCAGTGCAGTTTGTGTATTTGGAGTATATATATATTTGAGTATATAAAGTACTTTACCGATGCAGTCCTTCTTGTTCCAGTGCAGTTTGTGTATTTGGAATATATATATTTGGAGTATATATATTTGGAGTATATAAAGTACTTTACCGATGCAGTCCTTCTTGTTCCAGTGCAGTTTGTGTATTTGGAGTATATATATTTGGAGTATATATATTTGAGTATATAAAGTACTTTACCGATGCAGTCCTTCTTGTTCCAGTGCAGTTTGTGTATTTGGAGTATATATATATATTTGGAGTATATATATTTGGAGTATATAAAGTACTTTACCGATGCAGTCCTTCTTGTTCCAGTGCAGTTTGTGTTGGAGTATATATATATTTTGAGAAATATATATATTTATATATATTTGAGTATATAAAGTACTTTACCGATGCAGTCCTTCTTGTTCCAGTGCAGTTTGTGTATTTGGAGTATATATATATATTTGAGTATATAATTATATAAAGTACTTTACGATGCAGTCCTTCTCTGTTTCCAGTGCAGTTTGTGTATTTTGGAGTATATATATATATATTTGGAGTATATAAAGTACTTTACCGATGCAGTCCTTCTTGTTCCAGTGCAGTTTGTGTATTTGGAGTATTATATATATATTTATATATATTTGAGTATATAAAGTACTTTACCGATGCAGTCCTTCTTGTTCCAGTGCAGTTTGTGTATTTGAGTTGGAGTATATATATTTGGAGTATATAAAGTACTTTACCGATGCAGTCCTTCTTGTTCCAGTGCAGTTTGTGTATTTGGAGTATATATATTTGGAGTATATAAAGTACTTTACCGATGCAGTCCTTCTTGTTCCAGTGCAGTTTGTGTATTTGGAGTATATATATATTTGGAGTATATAAAGTACTTTACCGATGCAGTCCTTCTTGTTCCAGTGCAGTTTGTGTATTTGGAGTATATATATATTTGGAGTATATATATTTGGAGTATATAAAGTACTTTACCGATGCAGTCCTTCTTGTTCCAGTGCAGTTTGTGTATTTGGAGTATATATATATTTGGAGTATATAAAGTACTTTACCGATGCAGTCCTTCTTGTTCCAGTGCAGTTTGTGTATTTGGAGTATATATATTTGGAGTATATAAAGTACTTTACCGATGCAGTCCTTCTTGTTCCAGTGCAGTTTGTGTATTTGGAGTATATATATATTTGGAGTATATAAAGTACTTTACCGATGCAGTCCTTCTTGTTCCAGTGCAGTTTGTGTGCCGGGGGACACACACACTCGTAGCTGCCTGCTGTGTTCACACAACCAAACTCACAGCTCCCGTTGTTGATGCTGCACTCGTCGATATCTGACGCACAAACAAAACACACAAACATTACTCTTGTACTCATGATACTTTACAGGCACATCGGGGGGGTACTGCATGCATGTCTATGGGAGGAATATTCAGCAGACACATTTTCATTTTCCTGTGATCAGAGTGAGTTCTCCGTCCTGTTTCAGAGGATTTAACTACATGAAAAGTGAAAGTACAAATGTGTCTTCTGAATTTGAGCAGCGAAGAACAAACAGAAACATTTTCACATGTTCAAACTAACGACTCCAGAATTTTTTTTTTTTTTTACTCTTTTTTTAGACAAAATCCTGTGATTTTCCACATTAAATGGTGGAACTTTCTTTTCTGTTCTAATGTGTCTTTATATGTCTGTAAAACAGGACTAAACCAGGACTAAACCAGGACTAAACCAGGACTAAACCAGGACTAAACCAGGACTAAACCAGAACTAAACCAGGACTAAACCAGGACTAAACCAGGGACTAAACCAGGACTAAACCAGGTCTAAACCAGGACTAAAACAGGACTAAACCAGGTCTAAACCAGGTCTAAAGCAGGTCTAAACCAGGTCTAAAACAGGACTAAACCAGAACTAAACCAGGACTAAACCAGGACTAAACCAGGACTAAACCAGGACTAAACCAGGACTAAACCAGGACTAAACCAGGTCAAAACCAGGACTAAAACCAGGTCTAAACCAGGTTTTAACAGGATTTAACAGGATATTTTTAATTTGGTTCAGTAAAGTTTGGGCTTTTCATTTTCTTTTCGCAGACAAACTTCTTACGTTACGATATCCGAGTCTTTGTTTCTCTACAGCAAATCAAGTAATCCAAAGTAATCAGATTACATTACTCACTTTAAGTAATTTAATGGATTATGTTACAAACTACATTTTGTGACATGTAATCTGTAATCTGTAGGGGATTACATTTTAAAAGTAAAGTGTGTGTTGAGTGTGTGTGTGTGTTTCTTTCAGACAGAGCAGTGCTTCCTGTTAGCGTCTCAGTGGTTAAAGTTGTGGTGTTTTGTGTCTTGTTAAACTGGTTAAACCTTTGTTTTTCATCGATCGTTTCTTTTGTTTTCGCTTCGTCTCATTCGTCTTTATCGACTCGACTCCAGAGACTAAAGATCTGATCTACACTCCTCCTTCTCTCTCTCCTCCTCTCTCTCTCCTTTCATTCACTCTCTCCTCTCTCTCTCTCTCTCTCTCTCTCTCTCCTTTCTCTCTCTCTCTCTCTCTTCTCCTCTCTCTCTCTCCTCTCTCCTTCTCTCTCTCTCTCCTCTTCTCTCTCCTCCTTCTCTCTCTCCTCTCTCTCTTCCTCTCTCTCTCCTTCTCTCTCTCTCCTTCTCTCTCTCCTCTCTTCTCTCCTCTCTCTCTCCTCCTCTCTCTCTCTCCTTCTCTCTCTCTCTCTCTCTCTCCTCTCTCTCTCTCTCTCTCTCTCTTCTCTCTCTCTCTCCTCCCTCTCTCTCTCTCCTCTCTCTCCTCTCTCTCTCTCTCCTCCTCTCTCTCTCTTCCTCTTCTCTCTCTCTCTCCTCTTCTCTCTCTCCTCCTCTCTCTCTCTCTCTCTCCTCCTCCTCTCTCCTCCTTCTCTCTCCTTCCTCTCTCCTCTTCCTCTCCTCCCTTCTCTCTCTCCTCTCTTCTCCTCTCTCTCCTCCTTCTCTCTCCTTTCGTCAGGCTTTCTGCTCCTCTCTCTCTCTCCTCTCTTTCTTTCACTTTCTCTCTCTTTCTCTCTCTCTCCTTTCTTTCTCTCTCTCCTTTCTTTCATTCTCTCTCTCCTTTTTTTCCTCTCTCTCTTCTTTCTTCTCTCTCTCTCCTTTCTTTCACTCTCTCTCCTTTCTTTTCTCTCTCTTCTTTCTTTCACTCTCTCTCCTTTCACTCTCTCTCTCTCCTTTCTTTCACTCTCTCTCCTTTCTTTCTCTCTCTTCTTTTTCTCTCTCTCCTTTCTTTCACTCTCTCTCTCTCTCTCTCCTTTCTTTCACTCTCTCTCTTTTCTTTCTCTCTCTCTCTCTCTCTCTCTCCTCTCTTTCTCTCTCTCTCTTTCCTCTTCCCCTTCTCTTACTCCCTTCATTCTCTTTCTCTCTCCCTCTTTTTCTTTCTCTTTCCTTTCCTCAAATCCTCTCTCATATTTTTCTCTCCTCCTCCCCTCTCTCTCTCCATCCTTCTCTCATTTTCTCTCCTCTCTTACTCATCCACTCCTCCTTCCTGTCTCCTCTCGCTCTCTTTCTCATCCTCCACCCCTTCTATTCTTCTTTACCTCCTCTCATCCTCTTTCTGCTGCCTCGTTTTCTCTCTTTCCCTCTTTCTTCCTCTTTGTGTCTCTCTCTATCCTGCGTTCCCTCGCTCTCTTCTCCCCTCCTTCATTTTCCTTCCCTCTTCTCTCGCTTCTCAATTCCTCCTTCTCTCCTCCCACTCCTCTTTTCTCTCTCCTTCCCTCCTTTCTCTCTCACCTCTCCTCTCTCTCTTCCTCTCTCTCTC